GTGAAAAGGGCGTGACATGTAGGGGCAGGGGTCACCCACCAGGATATTGGCAGCAATGACATCGGGATCATCACAGACAGATTCCACAAAGAAGACCTGGCCATGGAAGAAGGCAGGGACAAACGAGTCAAAAACACCAGGCTACCTCCCATCTAGTCACCCCTCTCCCAAGATTTTGTCATTAAAGTAGCCTTCAAGACCTCCTCTTTTAAAAATGGCTCTTACCACATCCCCCAGGCCTCAAACACACAGGTCTGAGAAAGGACCTGCAAGAAAACCTTGAAGGACTGGGTATATACCCTAAGAGACGTGAATCAGATAGTGAGTTCTGTCCTCCCCCACCAGAGCCAAGCAGATCCATGCTCGACCTCTCTTCCTCCAGCATGGAGTCAGATCCTACCTTATAGGAATTCTGCTTGGCAAAGTTCAAAATCATGTCCCTCCTCTCCCGGGTGGTGTTGGTGGCATCAAACACCTGGGGAAAAAGCACACAAGGTAAATGAGTGGGGACAGTGTGATGGAACCCACCAGGATAGGGCTGAAGAGCTGGTGACTGAGGGTGGGGGTGATGAGGGAAATGCTCACCGCGATCTGCCCGTTCTCTTCACTGAGATATGCCTTCACGTCTTGCAGCGCCACCAGTGCACACCGTCTGCGTGAGAGCAGAGAAAGTCAGCACGGGCTGGCTGATCTCAAGCAGAGGCAGAGACACAGACAGCTGGGGGCAGCAGGGGTCACATCACTTCCCCTTAGTTTCCCCCAGGCAGAATTCTCCCTGTGACCCCACCATAGTATCACGCGCTGGATGCTGCCATTTGGCAGGCTGAGGCCACAGCAAAGGCCGAGGTTTGACTCCTCACCCACCCTAAAAACCTGGCCGTGGCATGGGTCTGCAGTCTGAACTACTCGGGAGGCTGAGACAGGAGGATCGTGACACGGAGAGACCCTGTCTAAAACACTCCACACACACACATGCACATGCATCCGTGTGTGTGCACACGCATCCACATATATGCGCACATGTGTACACACACATACTCGCATGCACACACATATACACACATGCACACACACACACACATACAAGATTTTCCCCTGATTAGAACTTTCCGCCTGAGGTCTTTATGACATCTTTCATCTTCCTCCTCTCCATGCCCTAATGCTGATATCGAATCTCTTCTCCACTGAGCCTACAAACACACTAGCGTCTCCCCGAGTCTGTCCTACCTACAGCCCAAGCTCACTTGCTCATCAGATAACTTCCACTTAAAAGCCCGACAGACTATTTACTGAGGAAAACAAATACCAGTCCCTTCCAGTCTCATGACAGCCAAAAAGGAGTTGACTTGGGGTTAAACCTTAAAGACTCACCTGCGGATTTTCATGGCCTCCTCGTTGTCATGCCGAAAGAAGTCATAGGACTTGTAGGACTTGACAGCTTCACGTCGGTACACCCCAAGATTAAACACTGCAGGAGACACCCAAATCCTTCAGTAGCCAAATGGTATGATGGCCCCACCAAAGGGGACTTCTTGGCCCAATGTCGGAGTGGCCAAGGGGATGAAAAGCACCATGATATATTGGGGACACGGTATATTGGATACTAGCTTCAGAGTTGCAAGAGTTGGGTCCAAATCTTGAGTTGTTAGAGCTGACTTGAGTCTGCAGCTGTCTCGGTGAGTAAGTTTTCTCAGCCACATTTGCCTATTTCACAGGGCTACTGTGAGGACTAGACAGGAGGACACATGTGCCAGGGCTTTAGAAACACAATGGCCTATATGCATTCAATTCTTCTTCTTTTTTTTTTTTTTTCCAGAGAGATTTTTGCTATAGGGCACATATGCTTGCCGGAGAGACAGCGAGAGACATGAAGACAGACAGCAAGAAATCACTCCCTGGGGGGAAGGCCAAGCTGCAATTCCTTCTCCTCCACTCTCTTCTCAGGATTTTGGACATGCATACACAAGTACCCAGCCAGAGTTTCAAGCTGCCAGGTCTGGGATTTGAACTGTGGTCAATAATGTGAGAGTCCAGCGACATTACCATTACATAGTCTGCCGGTCCTATCAAAGCCACCCCCAACACTAGGCTAGTTGCCCAGGCCAGAAGAAGACAGTGCAGAGTCAGAGAACAAATCCAGAAAATCAAGAGGCAACCACTGTTCCAGCCAGAAGTAGCCTATCACCTTGATACAAGGGAGAATAAGCCTCCAAGCCTCCCAGGGGCCTGAGGGGTTCAAGAACCAATCATTCCATGTTCAAGAAATGACCTGCACCTACCTTTGGTGGGCACCCCTATCCAGTTGAGGTAGCGAGTTAGTTTCTTGGACACGTAGGTTTTACCACGGGCTGGCAAACCAATCATAACAATGAGAGTTGGGGAGTTGGTCATGTAGGAGGCCCACGCTGCAGGAAAGAAAAGAAATACAACTAAATGTCTAGGGGCCTGGGCAAAAGTCCAGAAAGAGTAAGAAGAAAAATAAGGACATATTGGACAGACCCTCCTGAAATATTAATAGTTAAAGGGTCATGTAGTCTTCCAGAAAGTTTCCAAACCAAGACATGTCTTTCCAATATGAATGATGTCCTCACAGAGGCACCCAAAGTGGAAGGGAGTCAGGGGTAGGGTAAGCGGCCAGGATTAGAACTAAAGTAACCATGGCACCTTCCTTAATGTGAGACTGCCCAATGACATGACAACGGTACAACTGGGAAGGAAGGTCTTGTGCCTGTAGATCCTACTGGTGCAGAACTGAGCTGGCTCCTGTAATGGCTCCAACAGAGATTCCACCCTGAGGCTCCAACCCGTCCCTTCAGAACCATGGCTAAGAGTTAGCTTGGCCCTGAAAAGAGAATCTTACCTCAAGTGTTTTGGCCTTTGCACTCAAGATTACGAGTTCCTCCTTAAATACAGTGAGATCCAGGAGCAAAGGCTACTTGACACAAGTTCTGTCTGCATCGACCTCAGGGAAGCTTCATGATAGAACTAGCCCACAAGGCCATCAGGGCCAGCCTGCCTCAAAGGCCCGTATAAAACAGGGTGGGATGGAAGTGCAGAGATAAAGGATAACACTCTGTGAGGCTGACCGGCACGGGAAGTGTCCGGGTTTGTGCCTGGGAGGTATGCTGGGTATGCTGAGAGCGTGTGTTGGTGATCTGGGGCTGGCTAGGCGGGAAGTAGATTGCAACCTCCAGACTCTGCTAGGGGTGCTGCCCCTGTCTCTCTCATTCGTGGAAGGAATAAATAAACAAAACAACTCAGAAGTAGGAACCCTCCTTGGTCTACCCTTCCGTAGTAAACCAGCTATCTCAGGAATGCTCATTTACAGAGGCGAGACTCACTGGACCTGGGGACTAGTTGCTCAGAGGTCAACTCACTTGCCTAAGGACACATTTCAAGAGTACAGCCAGGGCTAGATTCCAGACCTTGTGCTTTCTCGGTAGTTTTTCTCCATAAAGAAACTCCTCTCCAGCTTGCTCACAGGGTCTGGTCCTCCCTACACATAGAAGAGGCAGGGGAGGGAGCTGTACCACTGCCAGCCACTTTTCTGGGCTGACCCAAAGGGTCTTCAGGAGGTCCTCTGGGTGGACTCAGGCTCTGCTGGCTCAGGTATGGGAAGGCCCTGCACAGTGATGGGAAAGGGAAAGAAATATCTTCATTTTCCACGGCCCAGGACTACTTTTTAGAAGGTGCTGCTTCTCCATCCTGTGACAAAGTGACCCCAGAAGACTAAGAAACAATTCAGTGAAATGGAGGCATTGGATGGGAAATTCATCATTCATCTCTTAAGAAAGAAATGTAAAAAGATCTCAATGGAGAAGTGGACAGAGGGGCCCAGGTACAAGGCCAACCTCGGAAGGAAGAGAGTTTCCTAGGGGTGTTTAGCAAGACTTATTTGGAAGAAAACAAGTGGCCCTAGTGGTGAAGGAGGGGTAGGTGCCCACATTCAGGGCCAGAAGGCTCAGCTTTCAGTCCTTTACCAACTGTGTCCATGGAAAAGTCCTCAATCTGGACAGGAGCCGCTCCAAGGCAGGTAATGGAGCGTCACAGTGATTTGCATCCTGTCTAAATAGGGAGCTCAAAGGTAAGCAAATGGCACCCCGTAGCCTCAGCTGGCATTAATCCCTCATCACTGACCCCGAACAGGCAAACATATTCTGCATGGGATCAGCTGCCTCAAGTGTAAGTAGCAAAATCCCCTGAGTCCTCACTTTCTCCAGCTCGGCTCAGCACCGCACACTACTGAATCCCCCACGGTTTGGCTCATTACCTGCACTTCTTACTCGCTTTGTCCACACTTTCCAGCCTATTAGGCACTTCCCCCAAAGGTCCTGTTACCCTCCCTAAAGTTTACATTGGACTGACACTTGGAAGCTGCTCTGAAGGCAGCCAGGGAACCAGCTGCTCTGTGTTTACCGAAATGGACAGAAAACGCTAAGAATGAAAGAAAACACCAGCCATTAGGGACTCTGCAGAGTGACCTCCAGCCCCACACCTCCTACCTCTCTGCCCAGAATGCACCCACACACACCTACTGCAACCAGGGCTTCTCATTTCCTGGAGCACAAGACTAAACCACACTTCCTATCTCAAATTGCCACACTGGCAAAACTAAAACAGTCTGTACTACCACCAGCATCGCTGTCACCACTATCATCATCACCTTTATTTGAATGGTGGAGAGTCCACACTGATCAGTTTCAGAGACAGCAGGAGATGCAATGGCAAGCTGCTTCAGTCCTGAAATTCCCTTCTACCTTCTTTACACAAGTTTTGACTCATTTTCTCAATCTTGAATTCATTTTCCTTTCTCATGAGCTTGGATGAGACAGGGACTTGCTAACTTCCTTCACACAGAGGGACAGACTCAAGCGCAGAAAATGTAAGAGCTTTTCCATGGTCTCCCAGGAGAAAGTCAAGGTCAGGGCTCCGAGAGGCTCCTGGTGTCAGGACTGGCCATTCAGTCCCAGCTGCTGGCTGTCGTTCCTCATGTCAGCCCCTGACAAAGGAACCCCCATGGTAAACACAACCACGCTCTGTCCTACCCTTGAAGGAGAGCCTCAGAGAACAATGACTTCAGGCCTTTTCATGACCAAGGTCTCTTCCATTATTTGTTCTACATAGGCCAGATATTTTAAAATGCTGCCCACAATGCATGTTTTATTAGTGTTACCTTATTTTCATCCATCGGAAATTGGTAGCTAAAGCTACCAGTTAACTCTTGCTGTTTGACTGACAGTCATAAAAAAGCCAAGTTCATATAACTACAACCGTACACTAAGAAAGCTGATGTTCTAGTTATCCAGGGAAGCGCTAGTTAATAATGTCCGATTTTCAACAAGGATCTTGAAATACTGAAAACACAACAAAGAACTTCCTTTGTTTTTGTTTGTTTTTGGAGAGGTTTTTGCTATAGGATGTGTGCGCTCACCAGAAAGACAGAGAGACAGAAAGCAAGAAATCAACCCCCAGGGGGGATGGCCACACTTTAGTCCCTTCTCCTCCATTCTCCTCTCAGGATCTTGGGCACGCATGCACACACACCCGGTGAGAATTTAAGCCACCTGGTCCAGGACTCAAACTGCGGTCGACTACATGGGAGTCCAGTGACATAGCCATTATGCCAACTGCTGGTCCCCAAAGAACTTCTTAGCAGAACAAATTAGTAACACTGGGCAGCACTACCAAGGGGTCTACCTTTTCTCCTTAATTTCTGTGGAAGTTTGCTGGCACAAGTGTGCAGAGGTATATGTATAAGGATGCGTATTGCAGCATTCTTCATGATGGTGGCAAACTGGAAACAATTCAAATATCCACCAGTGGAAAATTAGAAAATTATAATATCCATGCAAAGCAGAAGTAGGGAAGTCTGGACTCTTTTTCAGCAGGAAAGAGATCTAAAACAGTTCTGTAAACATACAAGGAACTGGCAGCAGAACAGATTCCATTTTCATTAACCAGATAAAAATAAGATTTCTAAAAGACCTAACTTTATCAAAGACTTTAGCGATTGTGAGGCTTTTTTTTTTTTTTTCTCCAGGTTTTTGCGAAAGTGTGTGTGAGTTCACTGGCTCAGGGGGGTGTGTAATCCTCTCTCCTGCATTCTCCTCTTAGGATTTTGGACACAGGTACACACATGCCCAGAGTGGTTTTTTTAAACCACCTGGTCGGGGACCCGAAAGGTAGTTGGCCATGTGGAAATCCAGCACCTTAACCACCAAACCACCTGCTGACCCCGTGAGAGGTATTTTCAGTTTTGTTTTGGGATTTGTTTGTTTATTTGTTGTTTTTACTTTCTTTCTTTTTGCATTTCTTGAATTCTTCATGAACAAGTTTTGCTTTGGTATTTAGGGAAGGGAACATATGGGAATGTCTACTCCAGATCTACTCAAAATAACAAAAATTTTAAAAAAAAGTTTTAAAAAAGCATGCAGACCTCCCTCCCCTAATTCCTGCTTTCACAGAGCTCTGAAACCAGCCAACGGAGCACCTTAGGAGCACCTCGGCCAGCCCCCCGAAGTCACCCCAGCTCTGTAGTAGTCAAAGTTCCAGTAATGAGCCTTGGGAGGCTGCAGACTCCCTCCAGTCATTCTTTAGCTCTGAAGTCCTCAAGCCTGGTCACTTCCTAGAGTCAAAGTTTAGCCACACAGGTGTAATTAGCAGCCAGGGGATAACAGTTGAGCTATTAATACAGCAACTGCTGGTGTAAACACTAAGCCATCAGGGGAGCCAGTTCCAAAGTACAGGCAGACAGAGGGAAAAAGGAAATATGAAGGACCTTCCAAAAATTCATGAAAACACGTATCATGGAAAAACTATGCATGAATTAAAAAAAAATTCTGCACCAAAATAAACTCATATTTGAATTCCATTTTTCCATGAACTTTTTCAAGTCCCCTTACAAACTAACACACATTCCCATAACTGTATTTCTCCTTTGACTGTGGCTGCAACCGCCTCACACTCCAACCATGTGATGAGAAGAGAATGAGACAAATGAATAACGGTGGCTTTAGCACATCTCCCAGAGGCCTCTGCTGGGAGAGAAAAAGACATTTAAAGAAGGTAGAGACTGAAAGGGAGAAATTAGAACTCAGAGCAGGAATTAGAGTAAAAGACAGGAAAGAGATTGGGAATTATTGCTTCCTTGACTGATCAAAAGGCTTCAAGGCAAAAAAAAAAAATGATCAGAGAAGAGTTGAGAAGGTAGGTAGGACAGAGTCCTAGTGCAGGACGAAGCAGAGCTAGGTCTACCAATGGGAGCACCGTGCAGTCACGGACTCTCGCGGGTATCAACTGTCCCAACCCAGCTCTGCGCTCTCTCTTGGGCCTAGTGTACTAGTAACAGGAGTGTACCCCAGATCCCCCAATATGGGTTAAAATATTGTCAAACAAGAGGAGAAGCCATACTTAACTGAAAAAAATACTTCATCACAGGGCTCTTTCAAATAGTGAACTCCCAGCACAGTATTTGAGTGTAATTCAATTCATTTCAGGAATAAAAACAGCAAGCAGATAGAGTCCCCTGTGAAAAACCACACACCTAGCTATGTGTCCAACACTCTTCAATATCCATGCATTTAATCATCACATCACTACTAGGGGAGGTACTACTGGTACCCCCACTTTAAACAGGAGTAAGCTGAGGCATGGAGAGGATAAATAGCTTGTTCGAAGGCACACAGATAGAAAGGAGTAAAGGATTCAAACCCAAGCAGTCTGACTCCAGAGGCCACACTCAGTCATTACGCTCCACTGGTTACCTCTCATGGGCTAATTTGTCCCTGGCACTAGGCTTCCTGTCCCAGCAGAGAAAAGACCCTAACTGTAGAGATGTGACAACCCTAGTATCACATCCAAACCAGCTGCTTCTGTCCAACAGGACTCATAGGTGCTAGGCAAAGAGAGATGATCATCAACAACCATAAAACTGACAAGGGCATGACTTCAAGGTTGTGGCCCTGGGAATGAGCTATTCCCGGTCTCATGCTGGTCTGCTGTTTCCATCTACTGATAAATATAACCCCTGAAGCGAGAAGAACTGGCTGACAAGGTTCTAAAGGAAAGGTGCAATCTGGAAAGCAAGGGTAACCGTGAGCATTCCTCGAGGTTCCTCGAAACATCTGGGCAACAGCAGTCCAGATCTTTTGGGAAGCTATGTTGCCTGCAATAATGCTTAGGAATGCAGATGCACGCAGGCAAGGACGATGTTTCATATCCCTGCACACCCTCTCACCATCTTTGTTTAAAAGAGCAGCATGGAAATGCTCATGTGAAACTGGTTTTCAAATGAACAAACCAGCAGAAAAAACAGTTTGCAAAGTGCAAAGCCTAAGTCTGTGAGAAAGCAAGGTGGCCGAGGCACAATGAGAAGTCAAATGTCAAATGTCCTCTCCTGAGGCCTGCAGGGATGGGACAAGGCAGTACTGGCCCTTATGGGCAATGTCTGTAGTGAACAGTATCTTCCCAAAACTTAGTCCAATAGACAAAAGAAAATAGATAACAGTAGCAGCCCCAACTAATTCCTCTGTGCATATAATAATGCATAAGCTGATGCCCCCAGAATATAGTTAAAGAAAGCAATAAGAAATTGGCAGGACTGCATCAACAGCCTAGCCCTAAGGACAGGGATTTTTATTAAGTCTACCAGTTTAGACAGGAAATTATCCCTTGGAGGTTTTAACTTCCTCTGTCAAAGAATTATTTCTCATTCCTACCAAGAATCAGAATCTAGGATTACAACGACATTCCCAAGAGAAAATCCTGGGGGAGCAGTCCCTCCTCCTTTCCCGAACTCACAACATTTCTTCTCCGACATTCGAGGATTAGAGGCTTTGATTTTATAGCTGTTGTTGTTTGGTTCTGAGCAAGAAGCAAAATTCTCAGACATGGCAGGTGTCCAGGAGATGTCTGGAAGAGAGAAAAGGAATGTTAAGGAAGGGAACACCTGCAAAACACTGAGAGCAGAAGATCAGTGTGGAGTAAGTGATAGAACCCTGGGCCACCAATCAAGTCCAGCCTCTTCCTCCCAGTAGTAACTCCCTGTCCTTGGAGAAGTCACAAGTCTTTTTGTCCCTCCATGTCCTCACTGATAAGAAGAGTTGCACAGAACACTGCATTTATTTGCTGATTTAGGAGTTTACATATATAAAGTATGATTGACAGTCCTTCCAGCAATCCTGTAATAAGGCACGTTTTGCTACTACTTTCCATTTTGTAGATTGAAAAGCTGAGGTGAATTGATCTAAATGGTTTGTCCACGTTTCTCATTGACCTCAGATTCTAGTTTTTACAATCTGGAGAAAAGGGCCAGCAGGTGGTGTAGCAGTTACATCGCTGGACTCCCACATGACCACCTGTGGTTCAAGTTCCAGACTGGGTGGCTTGAAAATCACTCCAGGCATGTATGCATGCGCGCCCAAGATCCCTGGGAGGATGGAGGAAAGGATTGTCATGTGGCCATCCCTCTGGGGGGTGATTTCTCACCTTCCCTCTCACTGTCTCAGTCTCTCTCTCTCTCTGGTGATGCTGGGGCCCTAAGGCAAAAAGCTCTTAGAAAAAAATCTGGGGAGAGTAGTGGCAGCAATTGGGGGCGGGGCGGGCAGGGAATAGAATAAGTTCATTAACAAGAAAGAAATTCTAGTCCCATTGCAGGACTCAGTCCTGAAAAATAAATGTAAGCGGAATCGTCACAAACACGTTCCCTTTAGGAAACTTGTAACTGGACAAGAGACAGCGATGCCTAGCGCGTCACCATTTCTCTTCCGGCGTTCTCATTAAGCCTACCCCACACTCTCCCCACCTATGCGCTGGAACTCAGTCTGAAGAACACTGAGGCTCAGAGGTGGCGAACTATTTCCCCAAGGTCACCTGCAGAACAAGACGTTAAGTGCTGATTCAAACTGAGGTGGTAAAGTCCCGAGCTCACTCTTCAGACCTGTACACCCAGAGGGGCTCGTGAGGACGCCAGGACTTATTACTGCAAGGACCTCGCGCCTCTTGTGACAACACAAAACCTCCAACCCAAAGACAAGCTGCAGTCCCGGGTCTCTGAACGTCTGCGCTCCAGGCAATGCCCGGGGGCTGGCGCTTCTGAAAGGGCGAGGCACCAACGCCCCGCACTTCATCTGGGCGCACGCAGCCCCTCTTATTCCACCCGCCCCGACCCTTCCAGGCGCTACGCAGCAGTCGCTCACCCTACGATCTCTCCTAAGATCCCTCCCGGCAGTAGCCCGGGTGCTTCCCGCGAAAGTGGTAGCTCGCAGCCACCAGATCGTGTCCGGAGACCGGTAATTCAGTCCTTGCAAATCACGTGCCGCTGCCTGGACCCGCCCACCCGCGCGTCGGCCCTCACCTGGAGAGAATCGGAGACCAATCCCGTGCCTGCGGGGCCCAGGAGGCGGGGCTCAGGTCGGAAACGCTGACGCTAGAGGCGGAGGGATGGAACAGTGAAGGAGAAAGAGCGCACGCTCCCAAGTTTCCCAGCACCGTGGAGGTTGGTTGCATCGTTGCTTGGTAACTGGTAGAGTCTCGCGAGAGTGGACTACGGAAGCAGGCGTCTAGAAAGTAGGGTGTGACTTTACAGTGACCGAAAAAAGTTGCCAAGATTAACGCTTTACTTTCTGAATCCCAGAGGGACACTGTTAGATCCTGTTAAAAGGTGCTTTGCTAGAGTAAGCCACCACAGTACTGTTCCTGAGCTCATGAATACACCCTAGGGTGTCTGCATATCCTTCCCATGGGTCACACACTGTGACCTAAGAAAATCAACTATTAATACCATTGCTGAACCAGGAGATACCCCTGGACTCGTCCACATACTTGAGGGGACTCTAACCACCTTCCCTTTTACCCCCACCCACAGGCATATATCATCTGTTATGGTCATCTTCAAGAACCAAGGAAGAAAATTGCGTCATCGGAAAACTGAGTCATCAAAGGTGTGAAAAGATGCAAAGGTTCTATATAATTTATTCAGACATGAAGACATTTACAACAGAGGTGAGTTTGCACATTCCAAGTGAACTACACTTTTCATAGTGGCCCCAGCAGTCTCTTAATGCATGATTCTGTTGATAAACCCACTCTAGGCCAGGTCAAATTTGCTGCTCTGGATCCAAAATGGATAAAGAACGATGAGTATGCATTTTTAGGAAAAGAGCAATAACTTCAGGAATGCTGTCTTTCTTCTTCACCTGGGAATTAAATTCCATCGTCAAAATAGTTTAAATAGTTACCTTCTCTTTAAAGTTTTTTACAACTCCCAGCAAGTATAGTTGGCCTCTCTGTGCTTATACAACGGTATTTATCCAGTTAAGCAACTATTTCTCCAACGCTTTTTGTTTAGATCCTAGGCACAGTCCTGGGTTCTAGGCACACAGGGTTGAAGATGAAAACGGTCACATCACTTAGCATTATCACATCGCTGTGACATGCAGTAGGTACGTGCCTCTGAGACCCCATACTCTCTCCTGGCTACAATCAGTACTTGTTATAAAGGCAGGAATGGAGCCTCTTATTTGTGTGCCCAGAAGCTGAACTGGAATCTGGATGACACGCATTAGTCCTCTTCATTCCTCCTTGTATTGCCACCTCCCAAACTAGGCAGTTGCCCTAGGCCCAGATGCTGACCTATACTACGCTTTCTGAAGTGGCAAATGGGCGTTTTCAAAGTACAGCCTCACAGGTGGAAAGGCCAGTCGTCCGTCCGGCCCCCTTTAACCCCAGTGAGTCAATGTTTGGGCAGCCATGATCCCAGTCACGAGGATCTGATTGTTTCTGACAGGCTCTTTGACTCAGTGGCCATTCTTGGCATACGGTTGCGTTCTGAACTATGATTACGCTTCTCCGGGTGTAGTTTGAAGGCCCCAATTTAATTATTTCCGACCTCAGTTAAGTGCCAGGATGGATACATTCCACTCTACTTGATTCAGGAACTCCTTCTCCGCCCTCTTCCTTAAGCATATATGCTACCGACGCGGAGGGCGCCTCACTCGCTCGACAGGTAGCAAGACCAGTTGTGCTTGAGGACTGCGGGCGAGTCTTCATGCTTTGGCTCCTGGGGTGGGAGAAATACTCCTTGTCTCTTTAAGGGAGTTCGCGCATAGTAAAGTGCCAAAGCAGAAGGTGAACCCAAGTGTCGCGAGAACTAAAACCACCAGCAACTTCTCGCGATGTTTGGCTCCGCAAAGGGTGGCCATTTTGGAGTCCACCCGGTGGCCGGTTGTCCCGGCGGCGTTTCCCATCCTGCTGCCGGGACCAAAGCTGGCCCCGCAGGTGACTGGCCTGCGGGCGGCCGCACCGACACGATGTGGCGGCTCCGCTGCAAGGCCAAGGATGGCACCCATGTTTTGCAGGGGCTGTCCAGCCGGACCAGGGTGCGGGAACTCCAGGGCCAAATTGCCGCCATCACCGGGATCGCCCCCAGCGGTCAGCGAATCCTCGTCGGATTCCCGCCTGAGTGCCTGGATCTCAGCAACGGGGATACCGTTCTGGGGGACTTGCCCATCCAATCAGGTAAGGGGATCGGGGCTGGGCCCTGGAAGTTCCGGGAGGATGGAGAGGGGCAAGAGAGGAGAGGCCAGGCGAGGGGCTGTGGGACCGCTGGCGGCTTTGGAGACCAGGGTAAAGGTCGATCCGGGAACGGAACTCTGGCGCAGGCCATGTGTCAGGTTGTGACACACGGGTGAGAGCGAAGCCCAAAGCCTCCTCTAGTCTGCCTTCTTGCCTGCTTCGAAAGTATCTTACTCGTACTGTTTGCCCTCTGCATCCGCAGACGTGTGGAAAGTGGGACCTATTTTCTCTGTCTTGATGGCTTTTTTCCCTCGTGTCTTTGATAAGCCTGTCTGAAGGATGCAGGATACTTTTCCTCCCTGGTTGTTGCAGTCGCCCTCATATATACTAAGTTTAGCAAGTATATTTATTTTAGAGTTAAATTTTAAACCTCCGTTAAAAGCTCTTTCAAGTTCTAATCAACAGCAGCTATTTCTGTCCAGAATGAAAACTTGAACCCCAACGTCTGTGATTAAAGGTGTTCGGTGGGATCCAGGACCCTGTAAAAGCTAAACAGGGTGAATATGTTAAGTTTCTGGACCAGGAGAACCCCCTAGTGGCCCTGTCTAGGGTGAACACCTTCTGGAAGATTTTTTAAGTGACTGTAAAGGTCTGTGCTTCCAGACCCCTTATCTAAATTGGAATACTGTCCTGAAATGTTTTGTTCTTTGTTCTGTTTTCATCTTTAGGAAGATTCAATGAACAAAAGTGTTACTGATCACTTGATTCCAAGGCTGTGTTCTCCTTAGTAATCCCAGTCTGTGCTTTAACTCCTCTTTGTAATTTACAAATTTGGTTAGTAAACAGCCAGATTTCATCTGTAATTTCTCTGCAGTTCTAGATTTGTTTTTGTATTTCTTTTCTTTTATTGGGAGAGGTTTTTGCTATAGGGCGCATGCACTTGCCAGAAAGACAGAGACAGAAAGATAGAAGGCAAGAAATCACCCCCCAGGGAGGATGGCCATGCCGCAATCCCTCCTCCTCCATTCTCCTCTCAGGATCTAGAGCACGCAGGCACACGCACTCGGTGTGAGTTTAAGCCTCTGGGCCCAGGACTCAAACCGCGGTCGACTACATGGGAATTCAGCGACATAGCCATTACGCTAACTGCTGGTCCCTGTTTTTGTATTTCTTAACAGGTGATATGCTGATCGTTGAAGAAGACCAAACCAGGCCTAGAACTTCACCTACATTTACAAAACGTGGTGCTCCTAGTTATGTCAGGGAAACTTCTTTGCCTGTGCTTACCAGAACTGTGGTCCCAGCAGACAACTCTTGCCTCTTTACGAGCGTGTACTATGTCGTTGAAGGAGGAGTCCTGAATCCAGCTTGTGCTCCCGAGATGAGACGCCTCATAGCACAAATTGCAGCAAGCGATCCAGACT